ATTACATTACCTTCCCGCGTCACGTTTTCCCCTCTTATATATACCAGACTATCCTATCTAGTAAATACTAGAGCATTCATGAAAGAACAAGATAGTTCTAGAAACTAGAGGGCGCCACAGTAGTCATGTGACTCGCTGACGCAACAATACATTCATTACTAATGTTGTCATTTATTGACAATAAATAAAGGTCAATAAAACAGTTTAGCAAGCTGTGCAAAGATATTTAGGGAATATATTATAAAATAAAGCTATTTATTCATTAAGTTTTAAAAAATAATACTCACTTTTTGCTGAAGTTTTATAAACTTTTGTAATTTAAGGCTTTCTTATCTACAAAGCACTTTTAATAGTTAAAATGAATGGATGAATAATTATTAAAAGGTCAAATAAATATATAGTTTGACCCACTCTTGCTGTAAATTACAATTTGTTAATAGATTTTTCTAAGGCCGATTCCCATTAAATTTATAACCAATAGATAGCTTAGATTTCAATTGATTGACTGGAATATGCTTTATACCACGTGATGTTACAGATAATTGACAATTTAGTTGAAGAGAAAAAAAAATTCCCGAAAGAACATAGTGGGAGCTAAAGTTGAATTTCTAACTTCTCAAGTCACGTGATTAGAGTGAGAAAATTTCTCACAGAAAGATCAGCTGTTCACATTAAATTTTTCTATGTTATTCCCTGCATTATTTACTTTAAAAATTATTTTGTGGACTAGTAGTATTTATGTAAAGTAGTAGGGCTATCATAGAAGAAGGACAGGCGACGGCAAAAAAGTACGACTACACAGGTGAGTGATATATTTCTTGATTTTCTTACCTAATCTTTATCTATTATTATAAAAAGTAACTAAAATGTAAAACTTAGAAACTTTTAGGCTAGCTAAGGTTAAATTAATTAATATAAATAAATATACTCGCTAGGACTAACAGCTCACGAGTAGTATGAGCTTTATGTAACTTGGTCAGTGTAATATTTGTTTCATGTTACCGTATATTTTGACACTTCTTATGGCGGGAATTTTAAAAATCACAGTCCAAAAGGCAATAAAATAATAACATTTAATTATATTCATTTGTAAAAAGGTTAAGAAGTTTTAAACTATTAAATGTAAAAAAATGTTGTTTTCTGCTACAATTTAAAGTAATTCTAGAAAGAAAAAATGGTAATTTTGATTTATTTTGTATTTTTTAATTGATCTTGTCTGTATTGAGTAAGAGTAGAACAAATAACATACTGTTACGTCTCCGTTTGTTAATTAACTTTCCGTAACTTCGTTCCGACGAAACTTTAGCGACACAAGTTCTTACTTAATAAAACTGGTTTATTCTTTCCGAATATAACTTTACGATACACTTAATTTCAACAATCACGCTAAAACAAACGCTGTAACAACGAACGTTAACTTCAACAATACATCTCTCTCTGACTGCAGTTCAATTACTCATTACCTACACACACATTATTCTCCCGTCACGTTGTCACCCTCTTTTATATACCAGACTACCCTATATCTAGTAAATGCTAGAGCATTCGCCAAGGTACAGGATAGTTCTAGAAACGTGGCGTCACACTAGTCATGTGACTTTGCTGACGCAACACTGCCCCTTCCTTAGTATTGTTCGTCCCGAACAATAACCACATACAAT